CCCCCCCCCCCTCACTTTTCAGCTACCCCTTGAAATTTCGAATTTCATCACACTTCTGTGTAATGGTAATTCTCCATTTTGTGCTTCTATAGAAAACGATTGGCGCATACCGAGAGATTTCTGTTGTAGTTATTAATTAGGACTTTTTTCATCGCTGCGATAAAGTAGCTGAGACGAGGGTGTTTACTTGGAGAAACCTAAAGAACTTGAAATTGTCAGAAGATTTCTTTTTTATCCTCTGGGATTTTGTCGATATTCAGAGAAATTGAAATTTTATAATTTTTCATTTTAAATTCTGTCTCTTTCTGGAAACGTTGTTTCCTTCACTCTAAATTTCCTACAGTAAAATCTCACTCCAAGAAAGTGAAAACGCAACCACCCTTGAAAAAAAGTGGAAATATTTCACTTCTTGAAAAAAGAGTGACGATCTTCACTCTTTTTAGAGTGAATTTTCATTTCAAAAAAGTGAAATCTCATTCCAAAAAAGTAAGATTTCACTCTAAAAAGAGTGAAGATCGTTATTTTTTTTCAAGGGTGGTTGCATTTTCACTCTCTTGAAGTGAGATTTTATTGCAAGAAATTTAGAGTGTTGATGTTTTTCTTGACAGTGCAAAATCTTGACGATCAGTTATATTCACGCAAATTAAGGTGAGAGCAATATGATCTTTTTCTTGACAGTGCAAAATCTTGACGATCAGTTATATTCACGCAAATTAAGGTGAGAGCAATACTTAATAGAAGACAGTAAGTTCGTTTGCGTTACACTCCAATTTATTTTAAAGCGTTCCATTGTGTTAAAAAATTCTCTAATCTCTTATCTAGAATTTTAATAAAAATATCTGCGCAGAATCCAGGAATTATTAGGTAATTTTTTTACAAGATTTCAGTAAATACCCTGTGATAAGTTTAACGTGAAAGAGATTACGAGTCGCTCTCAAGAAAGAGAAGTCGAATCTTCCAATATGAATATATTTCGCATTATATAAATTATATTAATTCGAGATCACATCATTTATTTGAAAAAGAAAACCGTGCGAATGGAAAAAAAAACGCGCGGACAGTTTGCGCAGCTATCGCGACTTAAAATAATAACAGCAGCAATGATAAAACGACTTTGCTCTCGCTAAATACGTTGTTATGACGGCGTGAAGTAAATGCACCACTGTTATCATCCTCGTGCCTCCGACTGCATTGTCCTGGTGGTTTCCGGCGAAATTCTTCGCGACGCGACCGCCGTTACGAAAAAGCCCACGTATCTCCAAACCTCCCCTCTCGCCTCTCCTCTTTTCTTTTTTTTATCTCCATGAGGTGAGGCATAAATAAGCACTGCGTTTGTGCGCCTCGTGGGTACATAATGGAGTATTATGTGTCGGAGATACCGCCGCTGTTCCTCTTTCCCCTTCACCGTCGCGCCAAAGGGGGGTGTGTGTACAAGATACTTACTGCAAATACCTATGGTGCCCCGTATCGTGCTCTGGAACGATGATAATACGTCCCATTGTACGTGGGAAGGCGAGAACACAGTTTATAAAAATTGTAGAGAGGTGTTAGCGTTCGTGATAATCGATAATCGTGCTATAACGTAAACATGATAAAAAAAGAAAGACACACGAACATACAGGGCGTCTTAAGATTAACGGACAGTTCCATTTCTTGACGTATTCATAATTTTATTGTCCTACTTCGAGAAAAAAGTTTTAGTTTTTATGATGGTCAGTGTTAAGAATTTTGAAAAGTTAACAATCCGAGAAAAAATATTCATACCTGGGAGATTTTTGTTCAAAAAGCCTTATTTGTAGAAAATTAAATTAATTAACAATTTATTAATAATAAATTCTAATACAAACGCGAAAGGCTTTGCGAAAATAATGTTCGTGATCTTCAAAATTAAATTGCTTAACTGTGTGAATACTTTTGTACGTCCAAATAATATAATTTTTTATTTTTGTTTATTTCATTAAAATAATATAGTTTATTATATTACATCTTTTTGGATAAAATAATTTTTAGAAATATATAATCTATTTTATTCTTTGTTAATATATAAATTGCTAATTGATGTTTACTTTCCAAAGTAAGTTTAATTATTTAAAAGGTATCTTTCCTGTACGAATACTTTTGCATTTATTGTACAATTGTTGACGAAAAAATTATTGAATTATTATTAGAAATTGTAAAAACCTTCAAAAATTTAAAAAGAACTTAAGCTTATTAAATCATTTATAATAGGACTTTTGTTTAACGACTCTTGTCGTCATGAGATGATTATGGAATTACGTTGTAGACCCATCGCAGCCTAACTATCGCGTTCTCAGTTGCGAAACTATTCAATTAAGCCGGTCCCTTTCCTTGTAACGCACGTGGAACCCTTCTCAGCTGTTCCTTTCCCTTTACTTTACTGACGTATAATGACATCGAATTCAGCTACATATTTACGATAACGACAAGCTTCAACGAATCTGCGTCGAATGAGAAAATTGGGTAGAAATTAAAAGACAATTATTAATAAGTGTAAAAGATAGAATTCTTTCTTCTTTATTACAAAGACAATCTGTCTTGCAAATACAAAGACGATTTTTTATTTTTTTATAACTTTATTTATTATTTATTGTTAACTATTAATTACTTTAATTTTTTACACATATATTGATATTTTAGAAATATATATAATTTCTATTTACACATATATTGATATTTTAGAAATATATATAATTTCTACAGAAAAAATTATTATTAAATTAATTATTTGTCTTATTATTATACAATGTTAACGGCAAAAAATCTCTTTTACTAACAAAAATGATAGCGATTTTGAAACGAGATTGAAATGATATTTGAACTTTTATTAAACTGTTTACAAAGCAGACTGCAATTATTGAGAAAGATCAGCTACATTTTAAAAACGTTCTTTCAAGTTAAAAAGCAAAAATTCCAGTATTCAATCTTTAATGTAAAAAAACTATTGCATAATAGATTTTATTACAATCTACTTCGCAGAAAAATCTTTTCTTCATAAAAACATAAAATTTGAAAGAGATTGTTTTAACTTTGGTTATAAAATTATTACTTTCAATAGTGTGAAAAAATGTGATGTCGAGAAAAACGTATTTAACATTTCATATTAATGTTTTTTGTATAGATATCTAAAATAATTACTGCGCTATTCTACTATTATATATTGTAAATTAAAATTTTTCGATTCGACAAAATATTCATTCAGCATCTCTGACGCACTCATTATTAAATAGTAATTGACTCGTTCATAAAAAAATTTTTAGAGAATTAAAACGGAGTCAATATCTACAAGCAATGATATTTGTATGAGACACTAATAAATTTTTAAAACTTAATATTTTTCATAATTGTACTTTTTATACACTTCAATCATTCTTTAATTGAACTCTATTTTTGACCTTTATTACTTCCTTAAATTTGAATTATGTTTTAGTCTTGATTTTGTATTCAATTGCAATGATCATTTTTAAATTAATCCATTAAAAATGTCAGTAGCAAAATAAGTTGCGATTTAAATAATTTTTTAATCTGGAAATAAATTTTGGAGAAAATAAATTTATTGCGTAATGTTAACATTATATTATGAACAAATTAATAAGATTGTCAGGCAATAAAACAACTTAACTAAATTTAAGATCTCTATATTTGAAAAAAAACGGAGCAGATGTTTACTTGAGTTCTTGCATACTTTTTCGGAAAATACAACAAACGCGCGCTTAATTTTTGCGTACTGATTTCTTTAATATCATATTAACTTTATTAATTTCTTTAATTTTTATGTAGACCTTTAAAAATACATTTTTCAATCTTCAAATTTTTATTACACGAGAAAAATTTTATTTTTCAACACAAATCAAAGTTTTCTAAACAATTTTTGTTATATAGAAATTTGGCATCTTCCTAATTCAACATATTTAAATACACAGAGTAGTATGTGTCTAAAATGTTTTAATACTTTGTATCTACTATTAATTAGTGATTGATCATCACTAGTACCATTAATACAATACTCACCACAATTACATAGTCATACCAAACACCAATAAAAACAAAACAAATTGCAGTCGAATCTAACAGTACAATGTTACAAATTACTAACCACCTTTCAGAGCTCTTCACATGAAAGAGCATCCCGACTACAAGTATCGGCCGCGCCGGAAACCAAAGTCTCTGGTGAAGAAGGAGAACAAGTTCGGCTTCTCGATATCGCCGCTGATATCACCTGGCGACAGCCTGGCCAATCTATCACGCGGTCTTCTGCCACCGTTGACGCCTCCGACGCATCATCCATTGATGTCACACGAGGACCTGAAGATCCCGCGCTTCTTTCCACCGTTTGCCTACCCGCTGTATCCCTTACAGCACAAGCTGAGCGACGAGTTTAACGGCGGTAAGCTGGCCGCCGATTTGGCCTTACAGGCCCTCTACACCGGCAGTCCCTTTTATCCGAGCCATCAAGCGATGTCCTGGCCGACGGGCCTATCAGCAGCCGCATGTTTACAACCTAACTGCAGCTGCCCGAGTCCGCCGAAGGAGCCTAAAAGGCCGTTTCCGCCGTCCAAGATGGATGATCTGCCTTTCCCGAGTCCGGCAAGGGCCGACGATGACGCCGTCGTCGCGGAACGAGAAGAATCTCGGTATCGAAAACTCGAGCTGGACTTCTCCGCCAATCTGGAGAGTCATCATCATCATCATCACCACCATCAGGAGGACCGTTCTCAGGATCGCTTCTCTTCATCCTCATCCTCGTCACCACCCACGGAACAGTTAGAGAGATCGTCGACGACGACAACGACGACCACCACAACATCGTCCTCGTCATCAAGCGGTAGAGTCGATAGCGCCTTCTCGGTTCAGAGTCTGACGTCGACTTCCAATGGCTCGAATTCAAGCTCACAGCGTGGACACGTCATATGAAGGCCACTCCCGGTTCTCCCGGATTTGAACTTCCGGGGGAGCCTGATGCCGGCCGCGTGGCCGACTACCGATTGGTGGCGGGTCGCTCCGATGCTCTCCCCGATCCCCCAAACGACGGTCGTGAATCTGAGCACCGGTGTCGTCAAGGAAGACGCCGTCCACTTCCAAGACGAGCAACAGAGGAACTCGACGACCGTGTCCAGGCCGCCAAGGAATGGCGTGCATATCGCCAACATGCAGTGATCCAATGAATAATTGTTGCGCAATTCTCTGGACGAATATTTTAGTATCTCGCAGTCGAAAGTGAATCAGTGCTATCGCGCAGCTCTTGGATAAATGAAAAACGTTGAACGAAGCCAAGGGCTTTCTCCTTTTTAACGAGGACTCGTTTTTGTAGTTTGATCTCTTTCGGAGTAACATAATCCAAAATAATGAGCGGGAGAACGACTTATGGGTGAAGCGTCCGCCAGAAAAATATCGGAATCGAAGAGTAGGCCGTATTGAAGGAATAGCTTCTCGACCGCAGTCGGAGCTGACGAACAGAAATAGAAATCGATAACTCGGCTATACGGCCCCGAAATCCCACAAAGAGCGGGCGCAAAGGGTCCTTTCGACCGGATCGTGCACGCGAAGCTGGATGCTAGAGGAGTCCAATTCTGATGAGATAACCAACCCTCTCACATGCCACATATTATGGGGCGGGCGGGCGGGCGGACGGGCGCGTTCGGGGGGGGACACGGTGGGGAAGGGAGGGAAAAAAAAAGCTCTTCTGGCGGAGGCAAATCTCTTCTTTGGGACGCGGCCGTGCGAAATAAGCCTGAAACGTTCTGAATGCTAACGTAGAGACGCGTACGAACCCCGACGACGCGGTTTCGTTGTATCTCGCAGCGTCGCGTCGCGCTGCGCTGCACCGGCTTTCGCGACGAAAGCGGCGAAAGCATCGATACGGCGAAATGGAAGACGCGTGGCTGGCTTTGCGAACACTGGTCGCGACGCGAATTCTTTTCTAATATTATGGGAAAATCAGAAAGACATTCTCGAAAGTTATCAGAGGTACATTACGTTCCATCTCACTTGATTTCGTCAATGTTGTCTGGTAATCCGAATAACGAACAGGATTATGTTCTTAACTTTTCTCCAACTTTTGCGCAGAGCGTCGTTACAATGTTGTATTTCACGTGTTTATAATATTTTGACATTTTAATTTATTGGGATTAAGAGGCTTATCCTGATTGTTCAATGAGGAGACATAAATTGAATGAAAATTAGGACATTTTGAAAAATATAGTATTTACCGATGTACATAATTTTACATCTGAAAAAAATAGAAAATAAAAAATGAAAAAATATTTATATATCTTTCATAAAATGTTTACGAATCTCTCGATTTTGGACCAATGTTCCAAAAGACTCGATCTGAAATTCAACGAAATTCAAATGTGTAGATACTATTTATTGTGGAAAGTCACGCGTTTTCCATTTTAATTCTTCTCAAAATGTTTTCACCGAACTGTCCGACGGATAAGCCTCTTAATTCATAACACCAGACACGCGCGATATATTTTATACGATCTCGTTTTTGTTATATGTGTAACGATTATTGTTGACTTGTTAAGGCGAGTTGTAACATTAACGCTCGTTCGTCGAGAGTAATCCGCCGACTTCTCCTCCTTGTAGAAATTCCCACTAAGTATTTCTAACGACCGTAGCGAGCACTGATGCGAGTTCATTAGCGTGTACCCTAACGGGAGTAAGATGCAAGTAAAACATAAAACGTATCTAACGCATAGAAAAACATATCCTCTCTTTCTCTCATTTTCTCTCTCTCTCTCTCTCTCTCTCTCTCTCTCTCTCTCTTTTTCTCAATAATCACGCGACGCATTTCGCGGACGCATAGCGACGCTTCGATTAACTCGATTAATTCGGAACAAGAATAACGCGGATGCGCCACGTTAATCCCCGCCTCGACGATTACGATACTATTGTTAATTACTTCTGTAATATAATATATGCAACGCGTTTGTAAATAAATCTCGATCCGAATTAAGGAATATTGTCCCCCATCCCTTGAACTTCTTGCATTTTTCAAACATGATTATTTAGGAGCGCAAACAAGGAGACTTTCCTTTCCTTTTGTCAGCAGAATTTTTACCGGTGTACATTTCAGATAGATATTCGCAGTCTTTTTTTTTTGTACGCTCGCGTTCTTATCGAAGATCAAATATTAGCGAGGACAGCCTAAAAGTCTACGTCTGAAGTTTCAGCTTATCGCGAGGCTAATATCGCGCGAGTGAATACGAGCGCACGCTTTGCACCACCCTCGTGGTTTTTCCAAGGAGAGCCGCGAAATTAATCGGAGGGGGTGACGACGAGGAAAATCTCGAGGGCAACGTGAAGTTTCCTCCTCCGTGCCACCGTCGCCTTCCCCTTCTTACCGGGGCCTACAGGGCGGCTCGTCGTGTTTTATTTCTGATAGCGACGCCTCCGTCTCGCTGCCACGGGGACATTATCGCCACCGCGAAGGACCCTTTCTTCCCCCATAAAGGCAATCATGCTTTCTCCGCGGTGAGATAACGGCGGGAATGGCGGCACGTTCCCTCTCTGTTCCACGACAATCAGTAGAATTCTTCGCCGCGCTTGCGATCGATTTCGCAAGGAACGAATACACGGCTTAAAAGTCGAGATATGTATATAAATCCTTAAAACAGTTTCAAATAAAAACCACTCAGAGGCGAGATTTAACTTTCAGATTTATAATAACGTGAACCAATAAATAAAATTTTCTTATTAATTCTTACTCACTAATTATAAAAAATACCAACAAAAAAGTATAACTTTTTTCTTATTGAAATGTTTATCAGAGCAACATTTTTAATAGAAATATCTGCTTTATTTTTCTTTAATCACTTTTACGTGAATTTAAAGTTTTCTTTTTCTTTCCTTTGAATATGAGAAAAAATACATAACAACTTATAGATGCAACACACATGAGGAGCTCAACTTTTTATTCCAACTTGACAACTTGAAATACAGGCTATAAACTTTTTCCAAAGTTGTTTATTGCAAGCGATCTACTTTGTGATTTCAGAATGAAACAGTCGCACATATAATAGAATTTATTTGGCATTTATACAAGAAGAATTCGCTATATTTTTAGATTTTCAGAAAACAAATCTTTTTAACTACACAAAAATGACGTGTTAGGACTTTTTGAGCATCAGATATGAAAAAAATCGACGAAAAAGCACAAACTGTAGATTTTATTAGCATTATCAAAGTCTTGTTGACTAGTGTAGTTTTGTAATCGTAATGTTCTTCTTTATTGAAAATATTGTGAAACATTTTTCCGAATGTCTAGGATCTATCCAATCCTATTCGAAATCCATTCTAGTCCTTTAGGATGGAATATCATTGGTGGAACGCGAGTTTCTATGCGCTTTCGCGAATAACGCCCGGATTGTTCGAAGATGACAACGACGATGGCGGAGGGCTGGTAAGTTTTACAGTTGGTGCACAAAGACGTGGAAAGAGGAACGTGCGGGGTAGAAGAGCAGCAACGACTATCCTCTGACCAGGGAAGTCTACGCCACTCCATTAGTATGCGCGGAAGTGCGCCGCGCTCGATTGTGGCGGGTATTGTCATCGAAGAATGTCCTCGTTGCGCGTAGCTTCACGGCTCCGGACGGTTCCCTCGGTAAGGAGACGAAAGCGGGAATTCGAGTGAAATGTAATCACTCGTCGAGAGTGAGCATCGAGAGAACATCCCGACCACACAGTTCATCCGACGCGGGTGCGGCGAGGAGGAGGACGACTCTGACAACGCTACGTGTCGATAGGGGTATCTTAGGAGCAACATTGTCTTCTTGATTTCAGAGAATTTCAACTTCTCCGCGCCGTCATTGCGCAGCCCGCAATTGAATTTTACATCAACGTTGCCGCGAGTACTTCCACGCCGGGGCACGCGAGAAACTTGTTTCATTTAGCTGGAATTAGCCCGGTGCACAATCCAGTAATCTTCGCCAAAACACGAGCCAGGGGGTTGCGCGCGAGTCAGATTTAAATGATCTTTCAGCCTCAGTACCTAAAATTTCCACGGAGATAAGGCGATGGTAAAATCTGTTTCGCCATTTTACTGAAATTAGCCGGGAAACACAGGGATCCTCTTCGGGGATTCCCGCGTCCCGAAGGGGGTGGGACGGACGTTTTAATTGCGTCGCTCGTCCACGCTCGGCGATATCAGCCGCGCTTTTATGCACGGCGTAGAGAGGAGGCGCGATCGTTTGATTGCGGAAAATGACGGGCGGCAGTGGGCGCGAGTGGAAGTTTTGAGTGGGCGTCGGTCCCGGCAGACAATGAGGCATTCAGGCGCGGCATTGTGCCGGCCGACAACTGCGTTACCCTAGACAAACCCGAAATCACCGGCGCTATCGCCGCTCCAGATCCGATTATGCGAATAATAAAAAGCGTGATGACAGAGTGAGCGAGAGAGAGAGAGAGAGAAGGGGTGGAGAACGAGAGATAGGGGTGGGCGCACTAAAGGTTAATAATAGCGGAGCCGCGTGGCTGACGCCTCCCTTATCGTCTTACAACAAACATCTCGTATCTTTATATTCTTTAGATTGCACAGCGAGATACATGAGAATCTTCTCCGACAAATTTTTGTAATTAATTTAAATTAACAATTTCTCGGAATGTACTAAGAGGTCTAGCCTAGCGATATTAAAAACGAAAATTAAAATTTCTCGATTTTTTTTTTCAAAGTTATTATGCAACCTGTCAAATATGTATATCGAACATTGTATTTCAGATAACAGGGAGAATGCAAGAACCAATTTCACGAAATTACTTACGGCAGCCTACAATTTTCTAATTTTTGAATTATGCATTTTCCAATATTTTATTATGAATATCTCAGCGGTTAAACATCTTGAACTGTAAAGACTACGAGACTATGATAATGACAATGATAACTATCGAGTGTATATTAGGTAAGATGGTTCAATTTCGAACATGA